AGACAGTCTTTGGACATGTTTTCTGGATAACAACAACAGCAACAAACAAAGGGGACGGGCGGGCGAGCGAGCGAGCAAAGGCGGAACCAGTCAACTTTTGAGCATAGCACACTTGGCGTTTGATTTCACATCAATACCCCTCCTATCTCTTTATGTAGCTATCTATACCAACCACAAAACTAAGCAAGCTATAAGTGGAATTAGTATTATGCCATGTGTCTACCTCGTGAACGATTTGGGTCGTGTACTTGTGTTATATCCAAGCTTCCTATTCTTACATCATTTTATCCATGTTGCATCTTGTCATGTTGAAAGAGCACTTTGGTTGTATTATATATACCGAAGGATAGTAAGGAGCGCCATCCGCTCCATGTATATATGTATAAACCAGAATTAACCAGATCCCCGACCTATCCCGCCAAACACCATATATGCAACATGTATCGTAAAGGAGCGTGTATCGGGTATCGAACAAAACCACCACCCAAAGAAAGAGCGACGTCGCTAATCTACAGACAAAATCTCGACCAAAAACAAGAATGCAAATGTCGTGTTCTCGTAATATATTTATATACCCGAATCATATTCATTCCATTTTCGACACTTCTTCCTAGAACAAGAAAGCAAGCGCTCCCAAGCCAGCAACAAAGCCCACAGCCCCATTCTTGACCGCAGCACCACTCTGCACCGTCGGACTCTCCGTCGCATCGCCTCCATTACCACCGGCCGTCGCAGTGGCCTGAATAGGATCGACAAACGTATAACTCGTCATGGTACTGGGGCGGCCCTGTGCATCGGTCGTCGTAATGAGCTTGATGGAGCTGACCAAGCCGCCACCAGGTGTATACGTGGTCAAGAAGGTGGACCCTTGCTCGTCCGTCTCGGTCTGCACCTCGCCAGCCGTGGGCGCGTAGTCTGCAGCTGATGTGGTGACGGTGGTGCGGCCTGCGGAATCGGTCGTGGTGCGGATGACGGCGGGGCGGTTCTGGGTTTCTGTGCGGACGACGGTGGAGCCGCCGGCGACGTTGGTCAGGGTGCGGGTTACGGGGACGGAGGCGGTGACTTCGGAGAGGACTTGGGTGGTGCGGACTATGGTCTTGCCGTCTTGGGTTTCGGTGGCTTCGACGGTGATGATGGCGGGGCGCTGCTGGGTCGTCGTGGTTTGCACCTGGGTGGCGGTTTGGACAATGGTTGTGCCGTCTTGGGTGATGGTTTGTTGCTGCGTGTTGGTGACTGTTGCGGCCGGAGGGGGGTTTGCTGTGGTTGTTGCGTCGTTGGTCTCTTGGGGTTGGGTAGCTGGGGGTTGCGACTGCTGCTGTGTCTGTGTCTCCACCTGTGTGACTGTGGTGCCCTCTTGCGTCTGCACTTGCGTGACCGTCGTCTCTTGCTGTTGTGTCTGCACGTTCGTCACGGTGGATGCAGCTGGCGGTGGTGCCTCACTTGTCTGTGGCGCAGGCGCAGACTCAATGACGGTGGTGGTGCCGTTGCCCGAAGGCGCCTGTCTCTTCTTCAAGTCGTTGACAGCGTCCACGATAAGCTTCGTAGCGAGCGCCGGGTCTTCGTTGTGGATGTGTTCGACGCCCCGGTGATGCGACTCGAAGATGCCATTCTTGAAGTCCTTGAGTCCGCTCAATGCAGCTTGCAAAGATTCCTCCGGCAGCGCGTTCAACAAGTCCTGGAACGCTTCGTGTGCGCTTGCGTAGATGGTCTTGGGGTGGTCGGCTTGTTTGTTTGGTGCAGCACCAACGGCAGTACTCATCAATGGCAGGGCCAGAACGGCCAACTGAGAGAAAGAACGCATCGTGAGAGAAAGTCGGCGAGCACGAAGGGAAACGAAAGTAGATTCTCAACGAAGGGAATGCGAAACTGCGTGAATCGTGTTAGCAGGTCGTCATGCTATAAGCAAGGCCGTCGTATGTATACAGGAAAAAGGAAACCTGTTCCGGACAGGCAGCTGGAACTGTTAAAGCGAATAGGCTGGGGTAACTGAGAAACGTCGCGGACTGGAGAAGCAGGCTTACGCACAATCTGTCGCTTCCGAGTGGCTGGTCAGTCTAGACGCCACAGCCCGACAATCGATAGTCGGCTCTTATTTATTTCCAATTCCCAACGTTCAATCCAGAGCTACGTTTCTTTTTGCCGGCAGAAAAAAAAGGAAACAGCGAGTGTATTCGTATCGTTCGTTCGTTCGTTCGTTCGTTCGGTCAGCGATCAGCAACGAGTGTGATGTGCAAGAAGTGGGCGAAACGTGTGGAGTAGAAGGCTTCGAAAGAGGAGAAACGGAAGATCAGTCCTTAAGGCAGAAGGCGATACAGTTCCTGTACGAAGTAACACCAAACTAGCTTTAGTTAAAGCGCTGTTGATACATGGGCACTAACTAGGGAGCTCGACAAGAAACACGAGGTTTGGACCCGCTATTGCTCATGGATCCCATCATCACCTTTCGCCTCTCAAGCACGCCTAACAGAGCCAAGCATCATAATCCCGACCTTTCCGTCGCGGATCATGCGTAGGCCCGCCGGATGTGCGTTCAGCAATGAATAAATCGGTATCCTTCTAGATCTAATTGCTTGTCGTGCATGCCCCGAGCAACGCATCACCCCGACACGGACCAATCCTTGCACCCGAAATACAATCCAGCTGAATACACACATATACACGTTGCAAAACTTCAACCATGAAACGGCTTACAGACTGAACCGAACCGAGCCTAGCAAAAAGTTGGCACGTAAACGTCGGGGTCGGTATATACGAGGTGCCCCCCTGCAAACGTACAAAAGGGCTCGTTCGCTTGTTCAGCCAGAACGTCATGGATGGGCCGAGCGAGCCAGTCACCGATAATAGCTCCCGGTCGGACATTCAGCGCTTTGAGACAAAGCCTCAGCACGGTTTCAACATGCGAACAGAGCGACGACATTAGTCTCCGTGTCCGCGGACTATATGCCTCTACACAATAGCATTATAGCCATCGTCATCGCAATCTTGTTTTTATTCTGCCTTGCCTTTGATTCCAGTCGTCTACTTGCAGCTCGCAGCTGAACTTGGCTGCTTACGACACTTCCCCTCGTGTTTTCAAGAAACCAACGTGCTTCCTCGCTCTGACACTTCGTATCTAACAAGCACGTATCAACTCCGCTCCGGCGGTTCTAGCCTTCCAAAACCGTCGAATCACGAATACCCCCGTCTGCTGGAAATCTTAAAATAGCTACAACACACAGTTGGTAACCTATGGCTATGCTGCCAATCCAGTCGAGACTTCTGTTCGCATATCCACCACTCAGATGCATCTAGGCTGCTGCTGCCCTCGAATACGTGTGTACATGCGCAATCCCGCTAGCGCGTTCGGCATGTCGCCACGACGCTTATGTCGAAGCAATTGTTGTTGGGCATCGGCCGAGATGCAGACTACGGCAGAGACGGCAACGCGGCGTCAGAACGGTAGCAGCGCCGTTGGTACTCAACATTGTAGCATTTTCCATGTGTAGCAAGTAGACTAGCGGGTTGCCGTGTTTCCTTGGCTTTGATATGTACTGGTGTTGCAGAGACTTTTACAAGATGAAGATTGCTTCTTTTTGCTCTTGTCTACTATTGAAGGAAAGATAACCTGTTGCTCCATGTTTGGTTCTTGGGCTACAGCCTACTACTAAGAAGACAAAGAAAAAGAATCATAGTCTTCACCTTTTGGAAAGCTCAAAACCGGCCTACATTACTATCCATACCGACGTAGGCACAACAAACAACCCCTGGGTATACACCACGATCAAGTATCATAACGCCTCACACCGTCGGTATGTTGAACGAGCCGCATTCGTGATGCCATTCCAAGCCGATCAGAGCTCAGCACCAAACATCGTCCCGAATGAAAATGAGAATGGATTATCATTACCAGGACCGCACGCCATGCATCAACGCTCAGATAATACTTTGCTAGCACGCTCATCACTTCGTCGAAACATCGTTGTATGCAAAAAACTTCCAATGGCACGTACGCTTTTCCGGACTGAAACCGCCTACCAAGTAGCCATCATCACTCTGTCCACCATGACAGATCGTAAACCTTTCTTCCAGACAACGCCTCTCACACTCCGCTCTCTATTCCTTCCCAAACACATCCCTCAATCGCTCACTGCATAGGAAAACGTCCATCCTGGTGCTACGGAGCCGGTTGCCCTCTTGGCACAACCGGCTCTGTCTCCTGTTCCTGCGCCGCCAGCGCATCAGAGATAATTTCTTGGTTCACCGTCTGAGGCGTAACAGTGACAGTCGAGCCCGAAGAAGAATGCATCGGCCCACTCGGCGTTGATACCGTTTGCCCAGTAGGTACTTCCGTAGCCGTTGAGTTTTCGGGCTGCGTAGTACTTGGCGCCTCAGCTTCGACCTGTTCACTACCTGCGGCACTCTGGGCTGCGACGGGTGCTGCAACAGGCAATGATTGTGCAGGAGCCATGGCAGTGATGGGTGACTTGGGATTCCTATCAGGAGACCTTGCAACAGATCGCGGTTCAGTCAATGCAGCTGGAAGATCCGTTCGTAACGCCATCGCCGGGCTCATTCTGGCAGGTTTCGGACTCGCACTCGCTGCTGGCGCTTGCACATTCGGCGGCTGTGGTGGGGTCGGGCTCGTCCCGGTAGGCGTAACGTCGCTCGATTTATCCGTTTTAGACGGCGTGTCCTCCATCGTCGAGTGTGACCTTGGTACTTCTGACGTCCGCCCCCTCGCGATAAGCGACTCTGGACTCTGCATAATGTTCTGTGAAGGAGGCAAATGGCTTGAGCTACCCGGGGGGCTCTTGGCACGTTCGCGCCTGTCCACGCGCTCCTTGTGATCCTGCCTCCGTTTATGGAACCAGTCAAACGCACCCTTCTTATCTGACTTTTCGTGATCAGGGGGGCTGCTGCCGAAGAGTATAGAGTCGGAACTTTGGTTCGTGTCGTACTGCATGCTCCTCCTTCCTCCACCTCCTGCTGTCGTCCATCCAGAACTGCTGGCAAAAGAGCTCATACTCTTGTCAGCACCAGGCACGGAACCATGCAGATCAGTGGTGCTTGTGGTTGGCGTTGCCTTGCTTTCTCCACGCCTATGACCTTTCCAGAAGCTGCGTTTTTCCTCTTTTGGCTGATCATCCGGCTGCTCACTCTCTGAGTATTCTGTTGCCGTGCTGTGGGACCGGAAACTGGCAGAGGGCGACATGCTGGGCTTGAGTGTATTTCCAGAAGCTCGCGAGGAGTCCGGCAAATTGTCCCTGGAACTACCCGCTTGGGATTGGCCTTGCGCGAAGGGAAGCGAGGGTGGTTGTAATGGCGAAGGAGGCCCTTGAGAGAAATGACCACCAAATCCTGAATCGCTGCCACCAAGAGAGTGCGTGGAGCTATGTGCACTCATGCTAACGCTATTTGGCATCCTCTTCTTCTGTAGTTTGTTTGGCTTCTTCCCGTCTTTGGATTCCTTTGACTCATTTGGAGGAGAGGCTGCGACCTTGGCTAGTATTTGGGTAAAGGTACGAACGGCAGGTGTTAGTTCAACAGCGGGACCCGAGTCAATGGGTGCTTCCATGAACTCTGAACGCTCACGTGTTGGCGTATGATGGGGACTGTGGAGAGGACTGCGCTGAGGACTGCGTGGACCCGGCGTAGTTGATCTTGGAGGCAACAGGTTCTGTGCCGTTGTCTGCGTGGGGACATTCGGAGTGGTAGGCTGGCTTGGAGGGATGATACCTGGAGATGGGAGAGGAAATCCGCCCGGCATATTGTGGGTGGCAGGCGTAACTGCGGGTCTATGCTGTAAAGGTTCTGTGGGTTGCATAGCTGTTTCCGGCGGACGATAGGGCTGGTAGGGAGTGGGCATCTCTATCTTGTTTGGCGGCATGGTCTGCGCCCGTTGTGGCTGTGCCACCTCAGGATCTACAGGCTGTGTGGCTGGAGCAGTTACCAAAGACTGCGGGCGTTCCCGCGGAGCTTCCGTTACTTGTGTCGGCTGCTCAGGGGCAGGAGCCTGAGCAGTTGGGCTGACAGTCTCTGGTATATCTGCAGGCATTGGTGATGAAAGTGGACTCTTGGTGTCTTCAGGACCAAGTTGCTTGGCCGCAGGGAAGCGAGGGCTTCCAAGCGCTGGGGACCGCTTCGAGGGCAGCGTATTGCTGCGATGTACTCCAGATGTCGTCGGAGTGACGAACGCAGGTGTGATGGGACTGGGCACAGCGCCTGAGCGTCGTGAACGCTTCGAAGATGTGGAGACATTCCTGCGGACACCGCCATATTGGCGAAGACTCTCCGCGCCAGCGCTCGAAGTAGTCGACGCAGACCGCCCAATACCAGTGCTGTTTCGAGGAGTAGTGGGTGTTCTTGCTTGTGGAGTGGAAGGACCGCTTTCAATGTGCTTGACAGTACCTTCATCGACTGCTGTGCCTTCCATACCAATCAAGAAGTGGTCCTGGTTGTCGATGAGGAAGATGAGCACGTCCTGGCTTAGCCTATAATCTACGGGAGACATGTCGTGCTGTGGATGCGAGAGGAGTCCAGGCTGGAAGATGGCAGCCAGGTTTGAGGTTGTCATCTTGTTAACGTCAGCCTTGGCGGCGAAGACTGCAAGCAAGTCCAAGATGTAGAGCAGAAGTTGTCGGTTCAGAGACGGCAGAGCCTTGATCTCATGCTGATAGGTGCGCACAGCGGCGTCTGGATCGAAACCTCCCACCGAAGGTTGCTGGCCTTCGCTGGGGCCTACAGCCTCGGCCTGGTGGCCTTTGAGAGGATCCCGGAACGGGTCATAATGCTGCAGTGGTATGATGGGCTCCGGGAGGTTGTTGAAATAGCGTCGCAGAATGTTGGCTGCGTCGTGTACAGTATACCCGGACCAATCTAGACCTTTTCCATAGCGGGGAGGGGTGTCAAAAGCAGTCCTCAGCTCTTTGATGCGCTTCTCGGAGCCCGCTAAGCGGAAGATGCCTTCTACGTCGGTCGCTGTGCGCTGTTAGCAGCTGGCGCGAGATGGGACTCGCTTGACTGACCCTTTTCCTTGAGAAAGACACCGCACTTGGCGACGACGATTGGAACGTAGCCGTAGATGTAGCTCTCACCGTGCTCGTTGAAGAGCGATATGGCGACATTCGCATAGGGGATGCTTTGTATGAGGGGCACTCCAAAGATGCCAGGAAGGGCGGGTTCTAGTGGGCGCGAGTTAGTGGTGCTCGCGACAGAGGAGCGGCGCATTTGGTACCTTTGTCGTCGTCCTTTTTCGCAGGGCGCTTGCTAAACTGCCTCCACCACGAGGTCAAATCTCGACGCGACGAGGCGGGTTCTGGCGTTGCGACGGGGGCGGGCTGGGGCTCGCCATTGCGCACGCGCGGAGTGTGGGGATTGGTGTGCGTGCCTGCGGGCGCCATGGCAGGCTCGATGGTGGTGAGGGACAGTCGTGTGGATTCGGGTCCTGTCCAGGTACAGGTGGGCCCCAAGTGGGCAGGCGGCAGCTGTCTGGGGGCCGCCGCTATGTGACGTCGGAGGGTAGGTCGGTAGGTAGCGAGGGAGCGATGGTAGCGAGCGTGCACGAGGTGTCAGCGGGGCCTCTCTCGTATTGCTGTGGCGGTGACGGAGAGATGGTGGACAGGTCGGACAGAGCGCGAGCCTTGTCGACGCGACGGGCGGTTAGGGGTACAGATGCAGCTTGTCGTCGGCAGGCTCAAGGCTGTCGGGTCACGGCCGTCGGGTCAAGGCCTGGTCGGGCGCAATATCTTCAGCGCGCGCCTGAAACTGTGGCTCGAAGCGACTTGAGCATGCAGGGTCGCCTTCTGCGAAGGGCAATGATCGCACGAGGGCGAGGGAATCAAGTGGCAGCCCGCTGCTCGACTGACGATGAGCAGCAGCTTAGCGGCTGGTGATGTGTGGCTGCGGGCCAATTGTCACCATCCAAGGAAGACGGCACGGCGTCGCCTGACTGACAGACACAAACGCGAGGCGTGAATCCAGACGGACGGCAAAATACAGCGACGATCAATACGGAGAGCGGATTGCAGCTGGCATTAAGAGGAGCGTGTTATCATGTTATTCTTCGATTATCGCTGAAGTTGGTTCCAATAATAACGACCGTCTTGGCGGGGGGAAAGGTACAGGTCCTGGTACAGGCCATGCGGGAGACGATACCGGTCCAAGATATGCCACGGCACAGGCCATTTTTAGCATCCCTTCCAGACAGCCTTGCAAGTATTGATTCGAGCATGAACCGTTCAATGCCGCTGCCAGTCCCAGCCATGAACACAAGAGGGCTTGTTTCCCGTCGTTTGGTGACTTGAAGGAGCGTGGACGGGCCGCTCGGTGGCCTAGCTCGCGCCTACATTTTTGGGCAAAGGCTCGTCAGCACAGCATCCAGACAACCACCCGACGTCATACCAAATTTCCAATTGAGTAAACAATAATCCGTAATCATCAACACACACACACACCCCAGACGCTTGCGGATATCATGGACTCGTATGCAACTCTGAATTGATCCCCCGAGACTAGCAAAACTAACCGCATGAAGACTCACGGCAAATGAACAGCGCGAGCTGCAGTCGCGCATGGAGAAGAAGCAGATGAAGGAGTTTATGAACGTAAGACTCACCGGAATCAATCAATCCCCGGGCAAGCGTCATTGTACTAACCGCCCTAGATGTACTCCAACCTCGTCCAGCAATGCTTCGACCACTGCGTCAACGGCTTTGAGAGCAAGTCCCTTACCTCGCGCGAGGAGAGCTGCGTTATGCGATGCGTCGACAAGCACATGAAGGGCTCCCAACGACTAGGCGACCGCTTCCAAGAACAGAACGCTGCCATGGCACAACAAGGCGGAATGAGATAAAGGCTTTGCAAGCCAGCAAGGTGGCATAGGCGTAAGATGAAATCTTTGCGACCATCGCCCATCATCCGCCACGAGCTGGTAGTAGGCTCAACGGTCATGGTGACGGCTAGCTATGTTATTTGGCACGACCTGTATTATAGAAACGAACTTTGGAATCTGCCCCTACGCGGACAATGATTTGTATGTCTTTGGCAGGCTTGGTTCACGCAAGCTTTAACCTTGCTATAGGGCTAGCTAGCAATTCAGCTACCGCTGTCACTTGTCCCACTTCAGCCTCTTCCTGAGAGTTACATGTACGGTGAGTCCGTTTGCAGCGTGCAAGACTGCTACTTGTCCGTGTCGAGTCGCAGGTGACAGGCTAACCACGCCCACGTCTCACTAATCGATGCTCACAGCCTCGAACGTCGTCATGCCAGTGCCACAAAGTAACATCTCGGCCCTTCTAACTGCAATGCTGTGGCGCACCACAGCGACTGCAATCTGCCAATATCCAAACAATCTAGAAGCGGCCAATGAAACGCGTCTAGGTCCGTGAAAACATCCAGGCCGTACTGTGCGCGCTCGATGCAATCTCCACGAAGATCGCTTTTAGCGGTGGCTGTGCTGCATCTCCCAAGCCCTTGGCTCCCAGCCTATGACGCAGCTGCGACAGCTTCACCGACCCTGTTCTTGCCCTGAATCACGCGTTCAGCTTCTCAAACACCTCCTATATAACTCACGCGCTGCGAGTTCTTTTCAGCTACACCACAACAAGAACCTTTTACAAAAGAAGACGATTTGTCCATCTGTCCAAACTTAAACCACTTCCTACCAACAAACAAACAATAAGCAAACATGGGTCTTCTGTGGACTAAACAATGGGGAGGCCGCCATGCCGGTAAGTAGCCTGCCTAAGAGCCGTCTGTTCCGGACACTGCGCAGGCAAGTTGCTGACAGGATGTTAGGTGGTGGTGTTGTCGCTGACCGTCACGGCGTACGTCGCGCGCCCTTCCGCATCTCCTGCGGACGCTTCAGCTGCTTCCGCTAAACATCGACGACATTTCACGACTGTAAGTTTCACTAAAATCAACACACCGCACCGCTTTCTGATCTTTGCAGCTCTACATTCCATACCATAATGATTCTCTTGCGACGGCGTTGGTAGGGATTGAATGTGCACGGCGGCGAATGCATACTTCAGCGAGAAGTTTAGGCAATACTATGAACATGCATCTGCGACGCAGTCGCATGCATCTACTATACCCTCAGTAGCCTAATACAACACATCTATTTCATTACACTTCTGCTCTCCAACAACTGTATTTCTCGCATGCCAACGTGCAACCCGTTGTTATGTACACGTACACAGGCAACCAATAGGTAGAACAGTGCGAACAATCTGGAACATGACGTCACGCACCACATCCTTGTCCGTCTCCACTCCACATGTCCAATCCCCTCACGCGATGCGCCACACTGGTAAACTTCGCAGCGGGGTCAATCCGCCTTTGCATATATACATAGCTACACAGTGATAGCAACCAACCAAGAAAACCAATGGGCGAATACCGAAACGGTGACAAGATTAACACACGATACGCCACAATGCGGTCCATACTCATCATCAACCCAAACTCCACAGAGGCAATGACAGATGGGCTGAAACCACTTGTCGAGATGCTGGGATTCAAGGATGTCATTCACCACCTTTTTTAACCACAATAACCACATATGTGCAGCGAGAGAAGAAAAAAAAACTAATCAAGGTCTTAGGGGCAAAATAGACCGCACACACGTATTTCACCGCGCCTTCGGGGCCCAAGAGCATCAATAATGAAGACGACGCGCGAGAGAGCGTGCAGCACTGTCTCCCGGCGCTGCGACAGGAGTTGGACAAACACGATGGGTTCTTGGTCGCGTGTTATAGCCAGCATCCGCTTGTGCCACTCTTGAAGGAAGAGCCGGCTATCAAGGGCTCGAGGAAGCCCGTCACTGGTATCTTTGAAGCGAGTGTTGCTGCGAGTCTGCAGCTCATCCACCCAGAGGAGAAGTTTGGTGAGTGATTTATATATGTCTCTTCCCTAGGACGCAGAACGAAGAGTGGCATGTGAGACGGATGATCTGACTTTGAATAACCGTGACTACAGGTATCGTCAGTACGGGCAAGGTCTGGGAAGAGATTTTGACCGATGCTACGATTGCTTTTCTCGGCACGGGTGCGGATGCGGGAAAGAGGTTTGCAGGCGTTGAGACGACGGGACTTAATGCTACGGATTTGCATGATGCGCCTGCTGAGGAGGTCCGGAAACGCATGAAGGATGCTGTCAAGAGGTTGTTGAAGAAGGGCAGTGTGGGGGCGATTTGTCTGGGCTGTGCGGGGATGGCGGGGATGGATAAGATGGTTAGGGAGGCTTGTGCGGAGGAGTTGGGTGAGGAGAAGGGAGGACAGGTTAGGATTGTTGATGGGGTTGTTGGGGGTGTTGCGTGGTTGGAGGGGGCTGTCAGAGCTGTCTTTTGATAGAGAGTGGAGGAAAAGATTCCATCATATTCACTAGTCAGAAGTGTGTACTATGTTGTGTCTTGCTTGTTCTCACTGTCCCATGCTGCTTGGATCCGGCACATGTGTAGCAGATTGATCTCAGGCCGTAGCTTCCATGCTGTTCATTTCTACGTCTTTATTGTTCGTTTCGTTGCGGTTCCAGAACTTCAACCGCCGCAAGCCGTGGAGTAGATTTCCCTTCCACCGCTTGTCGTGTCTCGTCCCCGTAGTGGCTGAAGCTTTCCCGGATTGAGTGATGTAGAACGCGACGAGTAAAGCCACGACAATGACCACAACAGTAATGGGCGCTGTAGCATCTCGTCAACGTTGAATCGTCCCAAACTCTGAGGTCACATACTTGCGACGCGCCATAGATGCCAGGTAGAAGGGTTACCTTCATCGCCGGTGAACTCTTTGACGTTCTGGCCGAAATACGATGTAAAGAATGACAGAGGTAACTGTTCCTTTAAGTCAGATACTATCACGAGTGAGCGTCGCTATTGAACTCACGAATATGACTGTAATGATTGTGAAGAGCATCACAGCGCGGCCTTGAACACTCGCTTCCTGAGCTTCTTTTGCACTCGATTGAGCTGCCTCGAGACCTGCATGAGCTTCTGCAAGACTTGCTGCCTTAGACTTAAGGTCCGACAGATCGAGTAACTATACAAGTCAGGCTCAAGGATATAGTCCAATTTTCAATCTATTTACCATCTTGCGAGTGTGTTGCGCATCAGTGCCGATACTAGCGAACTGAGCGAGTAGAGGGCCGATTGTGTCCTCCACTTGATATGAGACTGTTGGTTTTCCGGTTGTATCTAGTGCACATAACTTCAAAGCCTGAATGGAAGACTTTATGACATCTTTTTGGATTTTCAAGAGGTGTTGAATCATCTACAAGGTGCCGTTGCGCGTCAGTCGAAATCTGATGTGCATCGCAGCTGGAGCGCGTACCTTGAGTTCATCAATGATGTCTGCAACCTCTAGAATGAGATTTACATCGCTGCGATCGTTGAAGATCGGGTCGTCCTTTCCGATAGTTTTATTCTTTCCGCTACTGGTGTAACCCCGTTGGAATTCCTGGAAGTACTTTGTCTGAGTAGCAGCCTGTAAGAACAATTAGTCTGCACTGTCTTGTGAAGAACACGTTCAGCCGTGTTCACCTTCTTGCCAGTAGCCCATCTGTAGATCCCGACCATGTCCACTGAGCTTCTGTTGACCTGATTGAACATATAGCCCGCCGCTTCCTTGACCAACAGTGAATACATACCCTCAACCGTTTGTAGTTGCTGTGGATCAGAAGACAGGCTTCTCGTGATGCTCAAGTAAAGATCTTCAACATCTGTGGGAGAGTAACTGTAGATTCCGCTAGGAAAGCTCGTTATGATGGTCTCTGAACTGCTGGTCAGCAATCAAAAGCAAATCCAGTAGAACCGACGACAGACTTTCGTTGATGATCCAGCACCAGAATTGATCGACCATGATCATAGCGCTGTCATCGGTAGCCTTATCTCTGCCGTCCGCCTCCAGTGGCGTTCCAGTCCATTTCGAGATCGTTTGATCTTCATCCCGGTCGCTTGTATCGTCCAAAGCTGGATAGTAGAATTGATCCAAGGTTCTCGTCAGGTATTGTGGCCTCTGGGGAACCCGAGAAAGCGGCGTTATGGGCCAGGAAGTCTTTCCGTCTACTCGGTCTGATGGTCCAGGTTTCACTAGAGAGCTATTGGGTCGGTGTGATGATTGATTACTAGTGACAGAGCAAATGGATCCTCTCCTCGAGAGTGGTCTCTTTCGGTCTACTTGGCGTGATGGTCCAACATTAACGAGAGAGCTATTGGATCCTTTCTTCCAGGGTTGTTTCTTTTCTGGAGCTGAGGAGGCGGTTTTGCTTGTGACAGTTGCGTAGCTCGATACATACACCTTCTTCAGTTCTGAATATCTACCATATTTCATCCAGCTCATGTAAGGAAGCTGGCGCTCGTAATTAGCAATATGAATTTTATCTTCTGCGGAATGCGTTAGACTTACGTAGACAGTCAGGAGAGGAAGCTGAAGTCTGTCTTCTGATACAGGTTCTTCTCCTCTGTCAGTATCGGACCGGGGCAACGAGGTGCGTGATGTGCTTTGAGTGTGGTTTCCTGGAGTGCAAGAAGGTTCTAAATGTTTTGCATGTTCATACACGATTAGTTTCGCAGTCCCATCAGCTTCGGACTTCTGAGAGAAGACTGGACGCATCTTATATGTGGTGATTTCTGGGGACATTGACGTGTATTCACACTTCCCAAACCATCGCTGGAAAGATATCAATGATTTTATGCTGGAGCAAGGCCATCGATATACTGACTTGCACCAAAGGTAGATCGTTTACTGGGATGTGTATCCATCGGGCTCCGTGTATTCCAGAGGGAAGGCCATGAGACAAACCAACCGCTTGTCCTCTGACCTCGAAGTTACCATCTCCTACTGGTTGTATGGTATGAATCCTTGCCGAAGTTCCGTCTGTTTCTGGATTGGTTCCAGAAACATCGGTCTGACTCATCGCGACTGAAAGAGTAGATCTTTGCAGCACAGAGGGGCGGAAACGATGGTCATTAACAACAGCGCAGGTGGGGTGAGCGAGAGACGTTGTAATAAGGAATTGAGGTCCGGGCCATACGGGAACGCGATCCAGAATTGACCTCTGCTGGGTAATGGTCAGCTGAGGTTACCAGAAGCCAATGAGGGAGAGACGATAGTCACCGCATATGCAGCCTTGTCGAAGTGGCGCATGAAGCTGAGATGAGCCCGATGGCAGAACCAGTCAAATCTACACACGATATAGTGGGTGGCATCCGAACAAATCAGCTGCAAGATAACAGTGACTCAGTACATTCATCTGCATCTCAAAGATGCTTTGATGCGTGCTGAGATGCAGTTCTGCTTCGCTCTGAGTGTTGCTTGCATGGGCGCTGCGGACCTCGGGAGCGAGGCAGCTCCATCTTTACCGAATCAATACGAATGCAGTCGCGATCGTCTCGATGAGACATCCAGGTTCGTATTATAGGGATAGAAGTGGGAAGGAACATGTTTTACAAAGCGTTTCCTAGCATTCGCGAAGCAGTATAGCGGCTGCTGATGGTAGACGGGATGACGTATGCAGGGATCCACAACTTCGGGCCGCATCGTTCCTCCGATACGACCTCAATGGTATCCTTTACACAGCGCACACACAACTAGAACAATACATATCGATACAGTGATTGTGTTTCAGTATATTCCGTGACTTCATCCATCTCAAGCATCATGCAGGCGCTTCCAAACGAGCTCCTGGCCCAGATTGCCGTACACCTCGACTCTCAACCACCATCAATCACCAATTTCAACCACGAGCCAAGCGCACACCTCGCCTACTCGCATACCGAACTGAGCACCAATCCGCTGAAATCCCTCTCTCTTGTTTCATGGCGATGGAGAAAAGTCGTTCTCCCCATTCTCTTCCACTTCACACGCATAGCGCTGGACAAGGAACCACAATGGGTGCCTATGGACGCTCGCCTCGTCGACAGTATGCAATTACAGCTCTCTAGTCTAAGCAACCACGAATTCATGCTGTATACAAAGTTGCGCAGCAAGTTTAAAGCAACGACCGGAGAGGCCTTTGCACCTGCTATGGATGATGTGTTGATCCAGTTGTGCCGGATCCAGGATGGCGATGAGTTTTTGAAGATGACGCCGTCAATAGTGTGGTTACCGCATCTTTCTAGGGATTTTAGAATTCTTTCTCGGTTCGTCACAGAGAACAAACTCAAACATCATATCAAGAGCGTGGTGCTGCACACGGATAAAGAATACGACTTGCGCCATGTGTCTTCCGCTCAAGGACCATTGGCGCGCGAAGTCACCGACATCTGGAACAGGGTATTCGATGTCTTAGAGCCAGCACGTGTTGTCGTCGCTGCACCACCCAAGACCATGGCCGCGTTGCTGGATTCACATGTGGGTACCAACGACATGTGGGCTTTCGAGATGAAGATGCACTACATTGAGCTTCTTAGAGATCAACCGCCCGTCGAGAATAAACAACAAGAACGCCGAACAAACGACGTTCCGCTCATTCAACGCCGACCCTGGAACCACTTGGGCTACAACGAAGGCTCCTCGATCACCGCATACAGCACATATGAATTTCACCTTAAGATCGCGCCTAGGATTCTCAGTCTCGTTCTCAGTCGCTTAGCCGAGAATCCAGCATTGTGCAGAGATTTGACTTCATTTAGCTTCGTTGCTGTCTTTCCCCTCTCTTCTACTGTGTCGTCTATTGTGGAGGCCGTCTATGGAATTCCTTCCATCAAAAAGGTCACGTTACAACTCGCGCCTGGTCCTGAGAATGACCTCCTCAGCAATGGCAGCAAGAGGCGCAAAGCCCAGTCAAGCGACTTTTGGTCCGAGTGGAGGGCAGGATATAGGGCGCTTACTAATATGGAGATATTCTATGATCAAAGTAAAGGGGAAGAGCAGGCGGTGGAGGAGATTGTGAGCAAGGATTGCTATTCGAAGCAATTGGCTGTTGAGGTTGTGGAGGTTATGGGTCATTATTTGGAGACGACGTCGACTACGTGGAAGAGTGGTGGAGTGGGCAGGTGGATTAAGGTCACGTCGGAGGAAGAAGGGAACTAGAAAGATGTGCTGAAGTTTGTGGTGGGAGGTGAGCCGGAGCAGTTTGCAAAACAAGTGACAGCGCTGTGCGATTCATATATGTTCGCGTGATATGAATTGTATGGACGGCAAATTGTGTTTGAGGCTTTTGTAATCTATATTGTTATACTAACATTATAGCATTGCTGAAGAAGGCGGTACACTGTAGAAAACTGCTTGCTGTTCCGTTACCAATCTGGAGTCCTACCTAAGTGGGTTGGCAGGCTTCTCTCATAGTGTTACTAGGCTAGATATTCCTGCGCCTGTCTAGCCACAAGCATATTAACCCTCGTCGCATGCGGGTTCGCGTTCAATTGTACCGCAGCTTCTGCATTTCAGCTTTGCTACGACACACTTGACGTTGTGATCTCAGCCGCACCTGACCCCTCACAGAAGAAAACCTCTTTAAGTACAACATCCGTGCAACACTTTTGTCATGTCTTATTGAATGCGGTACTTCTCCAAAGCTTGAGAAGCCACTGAATTGGGCGTCATCTGATGATAGCAGCTCGATGTAATGCTTCAATACACATGCGAGATTTTGTTCTTATCTCTCCAACTGTGCCGCTAAGTCTTTCGTTGACAGCGGCTAACTATCTGCGCCACCTCGTTTATACGTTTCGTGGCGTACCTTAGTGAACGACAAGAACTCTAGAACATCAAAGATTGGACTCCACCATCGAGTACGCACTCTATCAATCAGCTCGACCTTAAGGCCATCGTCAGCTGAGCTTTTCACGTGTTAGCATTGCAACCAGTTCCCCGCATACAGTCAACGCAACATATATGCTTCTCGTTTCCTAGCGCAAAGTTGTGAAAGCACAAGTTGAACTGCTCTGAAATCTGCATATTCATAGCCTTGGTAAGATGTTTTCTATCGAATCGGGACTTACCGCACGGAGAACCTCCCGTTGTACATGCTAATGTTATCCCCAGTTTTGTTCCATCCATGTCATCCACAAAGCCATCACCACGCCCAACCACCTCTTCTTGCCCATCGCTTCTCATAGGGGATGACGATACCGTCTACAACAATTATGCACACGAGTTGAGTACTCACACAGAGGAACGGGCGAATTATCCTCTATTGTCAAATGGGTTTCAAACGGCTTATAACGATAGCAAATTTGATCGGCATCCATCTAGTAACTGCAAGTGGACGATCGGCTGGCTAACACCTGCCATCATAGTTGGCAGCTTCATTTTGGGTATGTCTACTACACAGATACTTTGGGTTATATTGAAGCTGAAACGCTACAAAGCTTTGTTAATAGCAGTGGCACACTACATCTATTGCCGTGAACTTGATCAAAAGCGCGTCACCTCAACCGTGCCACAAAACTGGAATAATTCCATCTCCATGGCCTTCGCTCGCACATTCTCTTTGCTTCTCGTGGTTTCGGCATCTCAGGCATTCAACCAACTTCTCTGGTGGCACTTGCGAAGACAGCGCTTGTCAGTTTCGAAGATTGATGCGCTGTTCTCATTCAGCACAGGACCCTTGAAGTTATATCGGCTTGACATATTGCGGCGTGTTCCAGTCCTTTGGATCTTCGGGCTCTTCTTCCCTCTGATCCCCATCATCACCACAATCTTCCCAACTGGTGCGCTGATCGTAGATCTCCATCCCTTTCCTCAAACCAATTTGACAGAGGTTCCTACACTGGATATTGACTACCATGGCAATGGATCCGCTGTTGCCTTCTTCCAGGACGCTATGTTTACTCCTGGCTTTGATGGAGAATATCGGTAAGACTCCAGCAACTCTGGCAATCTATCTTGCGAGCGCACATGACGATCGGAACTAACTCATGTAAGGTGGCCTGCCGATAGACTCAAGGGTCTAGCTAGGAAGACACTACTTCAAGGTGCTTTCCTTACACAGCCCTCACCCTGTGGGCTTAATTGCTCCTACACTTTGAAATTTGCGGCCCCAGCCCTGCGATGTGCAGAGGTGACAACGATGCAGAATCTTACATCTGCTGATCAAACCATAGCATTCGGAAGTATGTTCAGAAACCTCGAAGACTCTGATCCGACGCACTATAATTATATGGGTGCGCCAATACTATCAAGAGAGACGTTCTTAGGCCAGTCCGCATACAGGCTATTCGTATTTGCCGTCAGCTACCGGGCCCCAAATGATGATGCTTACCAGTTTGTTAATTGCGTGACAATGGACGCTAAGTACGAAGCGGAGGTGGAGTACAAGAACGGCACCCAGAGCATCGCTGTAAAGGTCATCGATGAAAAGCCTCTGAACGCGTCTCGTCTGAACGTGGGGGAACTGTTCTACGACCTCATGAATTCTGAGCCATGGACTGATCCGGTCAAGTATCCAACACAGTATTTAAATAACACGGAGAACGAAATTCTGGAATTGATGCACGGAACCCACGTAAGGGCTATGAGCGACGCAATGGTATATTGCCTGTCTGGATACATTCAACAATACGGTGAGTCAGCCGATATCATTATTCCCAAAAGATTCGCGTGTTTCTCTCTTATCCCTGCGATCGTGTATCGAATGGAAAAGGTTGACGCTTGTCGGAATAGGACTTGAAGGTCAGCAAATCGCAGACACAGTGATCCATGAAACACCTCTAGCTGTTCCTATTCGCAACGACACTAACTACCGGTTCATCGATGTACGCCTGAAACTATCCCCTGCAGTCATCGAGGAGCTCATGCAAAACACTACACTCTCAGTCTTCAACGACGCGACGCGCAAGACCAAGACCATGGTCAACATCACCTCGTACGAAAATGCATACATATTCAAAGAGCCATCGCGTCTCATCGCTTCGTACACAGCATTGCTCGCTACCTACCTCGTTTTCGCAACTCTTGGACTGGTCGCTCTCGTGCAGAATGGCGTGGCCGCTGACTCTGGTATCTTCCTTCAAGTACTATGCGCCACGACGAATGGAAACTCCATCCTCAACAGACTGGCTAAACAGACATGTCTGGGTGGATCTGTTAATCACCCACAAGAGCTCATGAATCTCGAAGTACAGTTTGGCCAGGTCAAAGAGAATACTGGATTAGCGGCATTTGGAACTGCTGCCGAAGTAACTGAGCTAAAGAAAGGCGGCAGTTACGACTAGCTAGTTGACATGGTCGTTCCATGGTACATAGTAGACAAGAACCCAGAAGATGTCAAAGACCAAGAAGGAGTGGACAGTCGTAATATTTAGCATACTTGTAAAGTTCAATCTATCTTGGGTATATCGTTGCTGTACGTCGCTATAATGGACTGCGAAAAATGCCGTCCTCGATTGTCGTGTCATGCATCATATGCCACTCACCATTAAAAGCCCAAACGTCGTTCTTGCAGGCCATCCATATCATACCAGGCTGAGTCGATTCACAAACGCACCAAAAATGCGAACCCTCCTCTTTCATGCAAAAAAAAAACATTACCTCATGCTCCCTCACGTTACGCAAAGAATCTCCTGCCAACCCACCGTCCACCTTACACTACCCATGATAATCACTAACAAACCCAATCCTGCGCCCACACTCGCAGCCCCATACAGATAAGCAGCTCTTCTCTTCAAAGTATCAATCTCCACAATCCAAGTAGACACCGTCGTCAGACAACCACAGAACCCATCCATGACCCCCTGCAACACACTACACCCAACCACACTCGCACCCACACGCCCCGTACTAGCCAACGGAACGTGCTGAAGATCGTACGCCATACCCAAGACCGCCGTACCAAACACATTAACGGTAAAAGTACCAAGCGGGAAAGACGAGTTGATAGGATTCAGCACCAAGGAGACATAATAACGAAGCAAGCATCCCGCGGGCGCAAAGACGAGGGCGAAGAGCGCCTGGGAGCGCCATGCCGAGTGCGGCGGTAAGCACACCATGATGATGGCGCCGAACCATGTGCCCCAGCCCAGCACGACGAAGAGCGGATCCATGACGCGGCGTGTGAGCCGGAAGGGCAGGGTAGGCGTTACCCGGTCGAGGGCTAGCGCGAGGTGAGCTCCTATGTGGAGCGCACAGTAGCACGTTGAGATTGTTATGATGATGGTGGCGAGTATGGCCATGACGCTATATCCGCCATTCCGCGATACAGTCGTAGTTGCAGAGGGGATGGCTGTATTCGGGGGATAAGGATGGTTAATCGGGCTCTTCAAGTCGTTTGATAGCGAGAGGAAGATGTCGCGGATGAAAGACGAGAAGCTGGTGAAAGAGCCGCAGAAGCCTGTTGCAAGGCCAATGTACATGGGTATTGTTTTCTTGACTTTGCCATGCCGGGGTTTGTCGCGCGTGTGGTCGGCGGGGTAGTCGGATGGCTCTGGCAGTTTTTCTCCTTGTCTGCTATCGTCGTGTTGATTCTGGCCCCATTCTGCGGCGAACAAACGCCGGTCTTCAGATAGGAAGCCCATGATGAAGGTTCCCGCTACGTTGGCCCATAGTTCTGAGAAGATGACTGGTGCGCCGGGGTAGAAGGTCAGGGCTTGTAGACCCAGACGAGCTAGCGTACCCCATATTGAGAAGAAGATCAAGTAGGAGACCGTGTAGAGTTCTGTAGCTAATCTCGATGCTTTTTGCGCGCTGGGGGTGCGCTTGGAACGTAGGTAGTACTCTGCGTGTGGGTCGTAGTTCTGAGTATGGTTGTCGTGCTCTTGGACAGGCGACATACTGGGTAAGGCGGTAATGTCTAATTGAGAGCCTGTTGCTGCTCGTCCGAGCGGGAAAGAGGGTCTTCTTGATCGCTGTTGCTGCCGTGTTTGGGATGCAGGTCTGCTCCCATACTCTGGATTTGAATGCCTGCTCTGCCCTCGCGTCCTGGGTGTTCGCAAAGGCTGCGGGAGGTTGGGCGACTGTGCGTTTTCGTTGTAGAGGTGCAGCCAGGACTCTGGGGCCAAAAGGTCTTCGCCTGATTTCACTTGTCCACCCCCAGCTCGCGAGGATACTGTGCTGAGCGAATTGTGCTTTCCGGAGTGTCGGTCCCGTCGCTTCACGCTGCTGTATGATGAATCGCGTTGGCGCGAGGTATATGGCACATTGGGCGCGGGCGAAGCGGTCGAGGTCGGGGAGTCAGGTACTGGTTCGCTATCCGCACGCTCCGAGGTGACTTTTTCCAGATCGAGGTTGAAGTCGTGCAGGCGGCGCAGGTCGCTGCGTGTTCGGGACCGTGGTTGTGGGCGGTGCGCTGACTCTTCGGAAATGGTAGACGAACGCAGCGACGAGCGCTGGTTGTTGAAATGCGACTCGCGTTTCGAAGGGATGTCTTCGTGGTCGACGGGGACAGTTGCAGAGTTGGCCATAGCTGCCATTGCCGTCCCGTGTGCCTGCAGATTGAATGTGCTATGACGCGCGGTACCGAGATTGACAACTTTCCATGTATAAGCCCGAAGTACTTCAGCTCGACGCCGCGTGCAACTTAAAGTATCGCGCCATGCTCGCTTCTATGATGACGACAAGGACGTGGCAGTCCCCAGGAACGGGACTGTACACGTATATCAGCCCATGGTGCCCTCCCTCTTCCTCTCTCCTGCGCCAAATAAGAAAAGGTCAAATCTCAAGTAACCTTTGCTTATGCAAAGCCATGCGACGAATGACAGGCCATCCCATTTTCTCCGATTGGCGCATGGGACCCTGGTCAGGTGTCATGCAGTTGCCGAGGGCGTGACAAGGTTTCAGGTCACGGAGCTGCCCGACGCCGTGGCATCTGTTATCGCCGGCATGTGGGGAGCTTAGACGTGACCACGCGCTTGTCTCATGCACCTTCTTGAACGGACAAGTAAATCTAGTTGAGCACCACTATATATTCCAGAATACCAAGAACGCTTCTCAAATACTATCTACGTTTACTCGTTAATTCATATTCAACATGTCTGCCATCAACCTCCCCAAGAACGCTCACGTCTCGACACACCCATGTCTCCAGGCGAAGCTCTCACAGCTGCGATCGGCGAGCACAGGGTCCAAAGATGCGCAAACGCTGGTGCATGAATTGGCTCTCATGGTCGGTTATGAAGCCCTGGCCGCAGGCTTAAAGGCACAACCGGCGGGCACAGTACGTCCATCATTCTCATTCATCCGGTCCCATAACATCACCAAGTGGGGTGGTATTCCGAGCCGCATATCCATAAAAGGATTCCATATCCCCAAAACCATAACAATCTCCCAGACAATAGCCATACCAATCAATGCTATACCACAACACCCACTAACTCCACCTAGGACAAATCCCCCCTCGGCTACGAATACACCACAACCACCACCTCCCCCGCACCCACCTCCATATCCCTCGTCCCCATCCTCCGCTCAGGACTCTCCATGGTCCCAGCCCTCTCCTCCCTCCTCCCCACCCCCGTCCCAATCCACCACCTCGGTCTCTACCGCGAAAAGTCCACCCTCCAACCCGTAGAATACTACAACAACCTACCCTACCACACCCCGCACAACACCGCCGCGGGCTCAACATCCCCCCAACCCGAGTTGGCCATCATCGTAGACCCCATCATCGCTACAGGTGCGACGGCACAAGCGGCAATTGACACGTTGAAGGACTGGGGCGTGAAGAGGATCATCGTCGTGAGCATATTGGCGACGGAGGAGGGGCTGCAGAAGGCGTGTGGAGAGTGGGAAGAAGGCGTTGAGGTATGGGTCGGTGGGTGCGACAAGGGGGTTGATGAAAAGGGCATGATCAAGCCGGGTCTGGGAGACATTGGAGATAGGCTGTTTATGACATTGGGAAAATAGGTATGATATCATGAGTGTAACGTGAAATGGGACGCGTTTGTCATGAAAACTATGGGTAACTGCATGATTATCAAGTGCTTTGCGTTTGGCTCTTGAGCTTCGGTATTGTTGCAGGTTAGCGAAAATTGGTGGCTTGCTTCTACAATGCGTTGTTGCTCGTATCTGACTAAAGCCACTACGTTAGGTTTCTACCCCTTGTAACTGGAGACCCTCCTTCGCAGGATACAACAAACAAGCCGACCTATATGTCAACGTCGAGGACTCATGTCGAAATGTCTCAATTTTGTTTACTGGTTCGGTCTGATGTGTTGATATATTGAATCTGGACAGGATCCCTCAGACTAAGCGCGCCGCTAGCTACCAGCTCCCACACTCGAAAGACATAAAGCTGCGCAAGGATCCAGCGCAGTCCAACTGAGCTCTCATTCCCAAATCTCCAACTCGGTCTAGTGCCAGATCCGAAGAATTTCCATATTCCACGCCCGCACACGAGACCATGGTCATCGACGGCTCAAACACATGCAATTTGGTGTGCTTATTGAAGAAACATACGTGATTGAACTCGAAATACTGGTACAAGACTCATCTCGCCAGCACTTTATCCAAGACTTGTCTCAGCTTTTCCTCACAGTCAGTGGGCTTTCCGAAGGACCTCCATGCAATGAATCTATCGGGTCGAACCAGAACACACCCATCTTCTCTAACTCTGCGCTTCATGTGCCAATTGCGGTGGATGTCCATATAATCCAGTCCATGGCCGATACCATAACTGGCAATGGGGATGCCTGTGACTTTACTGATTGATTGAGCTGCAAACTTCCAAGCTTCCCCGCCAACTCCGTACAGCAAGCAAAACGACCCCTTCCCGGCAAGGTCATGTGTTGATACCAAGTTTGGGCGAGAGGGGACGTCGAGCCATACATGGGGCAGTCGACTGCCGGGGTATGTGCTGATTTGCGTCTCCACAATATGGTCTCCCTCCAAGGTAGGCCTGGGGCTGCTCTCGTCGTCTAGGTATACTGCGTTCGAGGTATACCACTGATTGTACGCCATACCGAGGCTCTCAAGCTCCTGTCTCTTCTGCTCAAAAGCCTCATGTAGTCTTGCTCGGCGATCGGAGCCTGCGACCGTCGGCTGTGTTAGTTCCTCTAGCTGCTTAACTCCATCTTCCTGAGGGGCCATCATTCCCAGAACTTCCCAAATATTGGAGTTATGGCGAAGTTGATTGTTGGACTCGCGAACGAGCTCTGTGCCAACTGGTTGCCGTTCCTTAGTGTACGTATCTAAAAGACCGGGGCCTGCTAAGCCCTTTGTAACATATGCGACTTTCCACGCCAAATTGTACGCGTCTTGAATGCAGGTGTTACTCCCCAATCCAAAACTGGGAGGATGACGATGGGCTGCATCGCCCAACAAGAATATATTGCCATCGGCGTTCGAGTATTGGTCCGCAACGGCCTCACGAACGGTCCAAGCGTCAATCTGCAGGATCTTGACATCGATCGCTCCGTCTCCAACTAGCTCCCGCACAAGGTCGACAATCTCGGGGCTCTCCGTGGTAAAGCCTTCAAACGGATTCGTGCCGCCTGGTCCAAAGGCGACCATGACCCACTCGTTCCACTGTCGCACCACGCGCAAGTGGGCAACAACCCCTGGAAAAATCTTGCGGTCAGGCTGGACTATCCAATGAAGGCCAGCGTGGTTCTTTTCTGCCAGAACGTGACCCAGTTCTGCGCGGATCAGAAAGTTGCAGGCCTTTGGCCCTCCTGGAGTTTTTGAGAAACTGAAGTTGAGGGAGCGAGCTATATGACTTCGGCCTCCGTCTGCACCAAAGAGATATTTGGTGCGAATTTTGAAATGATGGTTAGTTATGTGATCTTGAACAGCACATAGATACCCCGAGCCAAGATCGTCGCTGATAGGCTCAACTCCCATGAGTTCTGTCGAGAAGCGGTGCTTGAAATTGTGGTGTGATGCGTAGCGGAGGAGGAGTGGCTCAGCATGACGTTGAGTCAGGTCAACGTATTCACATGGTGTGATCTCCTTCAATCGTCCCTGTCCATAGCAGATCAGTCTTCATGAGCTTTCCAGATTTGCGCCAACCCAGGTCATCTTACAGCGCTGGCCGGAAGCTCCCCCCATGCCAGGACTCTTCCGTACTCCTTTTCTCCAGCAAGATTTCGTGAAAAACGCATGGAAAGAGCGGTAGGGCCACGAATCGCCAATCTCAGCCCTTCATCCTCAAGACCGATATCCCGGAGGCATTCTGATCAGGTAAGTCAATTATCGACATAGCAGGAGTTTCTCGCACCAAAGGCAAAAGGGTTGAATCCGTGGGCTCTTGGTGTAAACACTGTGGAATTGTCTTTGGATATCACAAGCCCGCTCAGCCCTAGCATTTGTTGGTCAGTAACCACCCACTATGCTCCAGCTTAGACATCAAGATTACCGTTCTGGCCCAGGAAAGCTGCTAGAGATGCGCCAGCAGGCCCAGCGCCAACTATCAAGATATCTTCCTGGATGGGAGGGGTCATGCTGACAAAGGGGTCGAGGGGAGAGTTTGAGAAATGTAGATGTGTACTTGAACCAGACAAAGTATATCTTTGGTGGTGATTGGCGATACAGGTTTGGGTGGTAATGTATATGTATATGCTCAGTCGCCGTGCCGTCGGATTCCGTGGAAGTGAGGCGACGGCTACCGTTTTGCGTCTTCGCCTGCTCGCGTCTTCAGAGTTCCGAGCGGAGTTGGCGCTTGATTCCAAGGTTTGATCACCTCTAACTTGGAATTGCCCGAGAGGACATGCATGCATACTATGTCAGACTACTACTGCATCGTACACGACGTAAATTAAAAGACTTGGACTGACGGACTACTCGCGTAGCCCACCGCGTCCGACCGAGAAGTGCTATGTTGTAGTTCGAAGTCCAGGTTCGGCGTTGGCTTGGCTTGGTTTGGCTTGGCGATTTTACTCTGCCTTGATCTGTCGACCCTTTCGCGCTTTTGAATTGTCCGAGCGCCGCGATTGAGAGTTTCAACTTGGCCCGCGCTCCACGAGAGCATTTAAGCTTCTACATTCGCGCACTTTCCTAATGACTGGTGACGTAGTGGTCGCTTGATGCAAGTGCTGTGTCCTCTCCGAGGCCTAGATCCTGCTGCAGGCGGCTCAATCACCAAGCAGCTGCGTGGCACCCCTGCGAACACCAATAGCTTGTCAGGTTTGTCATGAGCAACTCGCCATAGGTTACTTCTAATCTCGCTCACTTGTTTTACTATAAGACGTCGCACAATAAAGCTCATTTAGGGATTCGGCTCTTGCACTTTAAAGTTATTGCAGGTTAGCGAAAATTAGTAACTTACTTCTATATATTGTTACTTATGTCTAACTTAAGCTACTACTTTAGAGTTCTATTTCTTATAATTAGAAAACCTTCTTTATAGAATGTAATATAATATTATATCTATTTACTAATATTAATAACTTATACTAAAGTATCTTAATCTTATTTACTACTTCTATCTATAGATAGTTTCTAAGAGATATTAATTCTCTAACTCTTTTTTAGACCTTAGCTAGCTTAATTTTTAAATTACTAAGTAATAAGTTTTTAATTAATACTTTTAAGCTTATAATAAGTAATAAAATAACTTTTAATTTTAAAAATAGCTTATTAAGTTTTAGAAAAGAGTTTTACTTAGCTTTAACTTTAGAACTATTATACTAGTATAATATATAGTTAAAACTAAAGAGTATATCTTTTTTAATAAGCTAATTAAGAGATACTTACTAGTTATTTTAAGTTAAAATAAATTAACTATTAAAGCTATCTTAGAATAAGATAGATATTTATATATATAGTAGATCTAAACTCTAAGTAAGTTCTAGTTAGTAACTAGTACTCTAGCTAAGCTTTAGTTAGACTCTAATTCTTTTTAAATAGAGTTTAAGGATTTATTCTACTACTTTATAACTTTAGTTATACTTTAATACTTTTTTAAATAGAGTTTAAAAGTTTATTTTATTACTTTCTAACTCTAGCTAAGTTCTAGTATAGTTTTAGATAAGTTTAGATAACTATACTAGTTTTAAAGCTACTTAGCTAAAGCTTCTTATTTCTAAGTACTTACTTATTATAACTCTTTTTTTTTTTAGAATAAATTTTACTTTACTACTCTTAAGTTTAGTAAAATCTAATTTATTTTTATTAACTTATTTCTAAAAGTATTAAATACTTAATTCTTTACTAAAATAATAGTATAATATCTTAAAGATTTATAATATATTCCTATTATTTATAAGTGTTATATAAAACTTACTTAATTTCTACTTCTACTATAGTTTTATTTATAACTACTTTATATTTTTTTTTATAAAAGATACTTTATCTCTATAAAAAATCTACTATTTATTTACTAGCTCTATATACTAAGTGTTATTATAAGTCTACTCTTTTATATTATTTATAGCTATATTCTAATTTCTTTATAAGTTTAGTTAATATCTTAATTCTATACTTACTATACTACTTTTACTTATTTATTACTTTACTTTATTTAATTAAGAATAATAATTTTATATAAAAATCTATACTAATTATACTCTCTCTCTCTTACTATAAAAGTTTTATACTTAGTATATTTTATAGTTATAAAAGTAAGTATTAGAGATACTTAAAAATTTTAAAATAGTTACTCTATACTAATAATAATAATAATATAACTAAGTACTTCTACTTTACTTCTAGCGCCGATAATAAGTAGTTTAGTATACTACTTAGCTACGTCTAGAACTCTAGTAACACCTCTAGTAATAGTAATAATAGTAGCTCTAGTAACTTACTTTTTAGCTAAGCTCTATACTTTTTTAATATAGTACTTAGAAAGTTAAATATAAGCTTAGTTTATTTAAAGTACTCTAAATATATTATAAAAAGAGTTTAGTATAATTATAATTAAATTATTATATAATAGAAGTTTTACGTATACTATTATAAAAAGAACTACTACTATACTTTAGTAAGTTTCTATTTTAGTTTTTTTTTATACTTTTTTTTAATATCTTTTAAGCTACTAGTAAAATACTTAAGTTAATTAAAAAGCTAGTTATTATAAGTAATAAAAGGAATCCTCCTTTAATAAAGAAATTAGGACTAAGCACTTCTTAATAAGCGCTAATAATAAAAAATAACTAGTGTAGAGTATAAAGAGGGTTACGTAATATACTATTACGCTAAAATAAAGCTATTAGTAATAGTAGGACTTAAATATAAAAGTAGCTATTATAAGCTAAGATAGCTATTAGTAATAGTAAGACAGACCTATAATAGCAGGAATAGATTATAAGGAGTATATAGAATAGATAAGTTTTATTATTATATTTATTATAGTTAACTTAAATAGTTTATCTTTTATATAGATTATTAACTAGTTATTCTATTATTTATAGAATTAGTATTATTACTTTTTTAGTTAATAATAATAACTCTTTTCTACTTAATCTTTTATATAATACTTTATAGACTACTACTTTAGTCTACTTCGCCTTAGTATAAACTAAGCTTAAAGAAGTATAGCCTAACTCTATATAATACTTTAACTACCTTAGAAATTAGTAGATATTTTAACTAATAAGTTATCTAATTAAGATTTAGTAATAGCTTATTAGAGAAATATTTAAGATAATATAGCTTAGAGCTAAGAACTTTTAATACTAGTACGCTCTACTCTAGAAAATAATAAGATACTTAAAGTATCTAATAATAAGAAAAAGAATCTTAATATTACTAAGCTTTAGAATCTTAGGTAATATATAAACGCGTAGACTTAGTAGATTACTAAAATATAAGTAATAATTAATTAGCTTATAGAGTAACTAATAATAACTTTTAATAAATAACCTATAGCTACTAGAAAACCTAAGATAGCGTTACCTAAGAAATATAGAGAGGATAGAGATAGACTATAAGTCTTCTTTACTAATATTAACCTATACTATAAGTATAATAAAGTACTAAATAACTAAGAAAAGATTTTTATAGTAAGTACGTTTATAAAAAATAAAGCCTCTAACTAAATATAACTCTATATAGATAACTACTTATTAGATATAGATTATTAGAGAACTAAGGTTAAAACTTATACTTTATTTATAAGCTAGATAGAGTTTAAAAAAGAAATAGAACGTATCTTTAAAAAAGTAGATATAAAGAACTAAGCTAAAAAGAAGATTATCTACTTAAGACAGCTTATATTAGTATTAGTATATATAGTAGAATTTAAGTAACTATAAGTATAGATTAATTAAGATAACGTAGTACTCTAAATAGTGTTTAAAGCTAGCTTTAAGGAAAATATTAAAAACAGACTTATATACTATAATAAGGCTAAGTTACTATACGCTTTAATAGAATTAGTAACTTATATTAATAATAGACTCTAGAAATAAAATAACTAAAAGAAATACTTCTAACTTAACCTAGCTAATATAAAGAAATAACATAGTAGATATAAAAAAGATAGAGATACTATTATAACTAGTAGGGTATAAGATAAGACTAAAGATAAGAAGTTTAAAGAATAGAGATAAAATAGTCTCTCTAAAGAAGAACGCTAAAAGCGTTATAATAATAAAGTATATCTTTATTATAGTAAAGTTAGACACTTTACTAGAGACTATAAAGAAGAATAAGTTAAATAGGCAGCTATTAAGATTAAGATAATTAGGTAGAGTACGCTATACTTAACTTAGATAAAACTAGATAATAACCTAAATAATATAGATCTATATAAAGAAGCTTACTTAGTAGATAAATAAGTATTTATAATTATTCTATAAATTAAAAAAGATAATAAAGTCTTAGTTATAGATAAGCTAAAGACTAAAAATTAGAAAGTTAAAAGTAAAAACGTTTTAAAATATCTAGCTAACTAGTAGTATTAGATATATAGTAATACTATATACTACGCTAATAACTATAGAATTTAGAATTAAATTATAATTACTAGTAAATATACTAAAGAAATTAAACGCTAAGTAGTAATTTAATAACTTTACTTTAAAGACTTAAAAGTTAAAAGTAGAGCTTAAGAAATATCTAAAGAAGAGGAAGATACTAAAGAATATAAGAAACTGTGCTAGTATAACTATAAGATTAATTATATATTCTATAAAGAAGATAAAAAAAAATATAAAATAGACTAGAATTAGTACTATTATCTTAGTCTAGAAGAAAATAAATATTAAGTAAATAACTACTATATTTATAACCTAAAGAATACTAATATTTATAACAAACTCCTATAGACGTAATATAAAAATAAATATAACTTCTATTATAGATAACTTAAGAAAGTATATAAAGTAAATAACTATTACTATTATACTCTATTATTAAATATTTATAAGATTATAAACTACTTAATTTATAAAGCTAAAAAAGTATAAGTAAAGAAAGTAACTATCTAAAAAGAAGTACCTTATATTAATACTTATTAGAGCTTCTATTATAATAATAGGTATTTAATATACTATAGCTT